CATTCTGTCGAGCGCATTGATTTTCCGTATTAGTTAACGTATAACTCTATAATAATAATAATAATAAACTTTTTTTACATGGATCAGAATTGGGTCCAATACACAAGGACGTGTTGCTGTCTTACATTCAGCCCATGCGGACAATACAACATCTAACATAACTTGGTCTAAAAGAAGATTTCTAAAACAGTATGTAGCTATCTGACGGTGATGGTAATCGATGTTAGAATGATAAATGATAATTTGTAGACTTATTTATAATTAGAGATTTCAAGATGCGATGATTAGAAAATAACTAGTGTTGAAACAGACAGAGATTATTTCTCTGTCAACCAATTCTCTGTGTATAATTATCACCATCCTATATATCAGACAACCGTCTATAAATCGTTATAAACTATTTTTTTTCCTCCACTTCTTTGTCTTTATCGGGTCAAATCAACCATAATTTGTTCTGCTTTTTTTAACGCAGGTTTTTTTCTTCTGTCTGTGACCCCGAAAGATAATTTACATTTTTAAAAGAAATGATCTGTCTGCTTGTAAGACCCTTGTTAATTTGGTTCCCATTAAAATGTATTTCGTTCGGATTATATCGAATTTAATGACAAAATGATTCATGAGCATTGTCTAATATATCGCCCGATAAAGCGGATAGAAATTTACAGTGACTTTTTACGCCCGATCACGAAGGGGCACAGGGGCGAATTTTTGAAAGCGTATACCACTCGGGACCGGTGCATAATGGCGAGGCAGCCATTTTGACCATCACATAATATCAACATCAAATTCGAGTGGTTTGAAAATGTAATCGCCCTAAAAAAAAAATACGTCGGGTACGGCCAGCGAATTGAATCACCGACATCATTTAAATAAAATTTGGATTACTTTTTTCGATAAATTATGTGCGAGGGTTACAAAATTAACGAAATATCAGTCCATAAAACAGTAGACTCACAACATCATTTAGAAGACGCTTTGGATCCTCTTTGATATGCATCATTCACAAATACAATTTGAATTTGGAAAGAAACAAAAATTAGTTTCTATTACATACTTATTATTGTCTGTGATACATCCGTTGATATCCTTTCGGTAGGTCATGTTTGTTCAGTATTCAGGATTGGGTATAAAAAGTGGGGCGTGGACGTCTATATACAGTCAAAAACGACAGAAAACCTTCCTCTCTATGCTCTGTTCATCCCCAAAAAATCATGACTCAAACCGTACCTCTTCGGCAACATTCCTATGCAAACATGTACCGGTAAAACTTAAGTAGCGTCTTCAACCATTTTTAACAGTTTGCATTGAAAAAAATGGTTTTACCATACATGTATGATCCATGTAAGAACCCTACTACAAAGTTTCGTATGACAGAATATTATGATTATTATAAATTGCTATAATCTGCTAATAATCAATATTGATTACAGATAATGGTTTTAATGATAATAAATCCCAGTCGTCATTTTTGTATAATCCATTTTATTCCAATTCTATTAAATCAATACTATTATATTCGGAATTTGATATATCATATTTATTTTTTGCATAAAGCAGTAAGGAATAATATGCAGTATGTAAATACAATTGGATCGAATAAGTAATATTATTTCAAAATGTAAATACAATGAGATAACTTGTAATAATAATACTTGTAAATGAATATTATAATGTAAATATAAGTAATGTAAGTGTGGTAACTGGTTATAATGTATGTAAATAAATAAAGTGAGATAATAATACAAGTAATCATATCATGACAGGCTGTAAAGACTATGAGAGTGAGTGTGATAATAATACATGTAAATATATTATAAATAATTAATATTATTTCAGAATGTAAATACAATGAGATAAAGTGTGATGATAATACATGTTATTTCAGAATGTAAATACAATGTGATAAAGTGTGATGATAATACATGTTATTTCAAAATGTCAATACTTTGAGATAAAGTGTGATAATAATACATGTTATTTCAGAATATAAATACAATGAGATAGAGTGTGATAATAATAGTAATACATGTTATTTCAGAATGTAAATACAATGAGATAAAGTGTGATGATAATACATGTTATTTCAGAATGTCAATACAATGAGATAAAGTGTGATGATAATACATGTTATTTCAGAATGTAAATACAATGAGATAAAGTGTGATGATAATACATGTTATTTCAGAATGTAAATACAATGAGATAAAGTGTGATGATAATACATGTTATTTCAGAATGTAAATACAATGAGATAAAGTGTGATGACTATACATGTTATTTCAGAATGTCAATACAATGAGATAAAGTGTGATGATAATACATGTTATTTCAGAATGTAAATACAATGAGATAAAGTGTGATGATAATACATGTTATTTCAGAATGTCAATACAATGAGATAAAGTGTGATGATAATACATGTTATTTCAGAATGTCAATACAATGAGATAAAGTGTGATGATAATACATGTTACTTCAGAATGTAAATACAATGAGATAAAGTGTGATGATAATACATGTTATTTCAGAATGTAAATACAAAGAGATAAAGTGTGATAATAATACATGTTATTTCAGAATGTCAATACAATGAGATAAAGTGTGATGATAATACATGTTATTTCAGAATGTCAATACAATGAGATAAAGTGTGATGATAATACATGTTATTTCAGAATGTCAATACAATGAGATAAAGTGTGATAATAATACATGTTACTTCAGAATGTAAATACAATGAGGTAAAGTGTCATAATAATACATGTTATTTCAGAATGTAAATACAAAGAGATAAAGTGTGATAATAATACATGTTATTTCAGAATGTAAATACAATGAGATAAAGTGTGATAATAATACATGTTATTTCAGAATGTAAATACAATGAGATAAAGTGTGATAATAATACATGTTATTTCAGAATGTAAATACAATGAGATAAAGTGTGATAATAATACCTGTATACCGATGAATTGGATTTGTGATAATATCCAAGACTGCCAAGATAACAATGATGAGAAAAACTGCGGTAGGTAATTTTATATAGTCTTTAGAATTCTCAGCAATTGTCAACATTTTGAAAGCCTGTGCCGTAAAAATTTGCAACAATGCCGTAGCTATGCAGTCTTCCAAAATGTGATCGATGGAGCAAATTCTGTGGCAACTATATGGTAGGACCATAGAACCAAGACGGTTATATCTCAACATATTTCTGTCTTTTACAGCGGAGTGTAAAGATGATGAATTCAATTGTTCTCCTGCCTCATCTCAATGTATACCAGCTACTAGTGTATGTGATGGCAAAATGGACTGTTATGAGGAAATAGATGAATCAGAGTGTGGTAAGTTTTTAACAGATATGATTAGGTAGTTGAAACATTTGCTTGAGCAGCTCATAGGGCCCATCTATCCATTAAACTTTCAGATTGAAAATCGTTGACGGAAGTGTCTACAATGTGTTCAGGCGATATTAGCATTTTCCTATGAATCACATTTTCATATAGCATCATCCGTGATACCAATGTGACAGAAGGCTAATTAATTACGATCTGAAACCATATGCGTTTTATATATTGTACACAAACCGTACTTCTTTATTTCATTACGAAAAGGAATACGCATATCATTCTAAAACTAATATATTCTTTGAATAGCAATAATAAAAAGTAGAAAATAGTATCAACTCTTTTCTATGGAAGGGAAATAAATCTTCTACAAAGAAGAACAAACAATGCTGAATTAGATTTAACAAGGATAATCTTGTTTTCAGCTAAATTAACATCTGATGAAAGTCACTATAAGCTGGAAATATTTAACGGTAGAAGTAATGATATAGATAAATGGGAAGAAGTATGTTCTGATGGTTGGGAAGGCAGACATAGTACTATAGTGTGTCAACAGTTGGGATATAGGTAGGTTGTCAGAATATATAATAGGACGTAAAACTACTTTTTTATCTCGCCTCATAACTATCGATCTTTTTATATTTCTGTTAAAATTATAACTAGCAGGGCCTTTGAAACCATCATACAATATTTATAATTTCAACTGTATCGTTGACGAAGTTAAATGCTATGGTTGTGGTTGGATTAGAATTCGAAAAGTGTTCATTTTGTTGTTGTAGGAAAGCATCAAGTACGTTGTTATCTGCTGGAAGTAACAAACCTAAACTGGTGCTTACCAATCAACTACCAGGGACAGATCCTTCATTAATACAAAGCTACCTCACTAAGTACGTACACTTCTTGCATCTGCACCATATCAAGAAATTTTCTACCTTGTGAAATCATGCCATTGGTCTACAGAAGAAAATATACAATTTTTTTTCCATAAAAATACACTAAAGTGCTTAATGATGTCAAGGTTTCAGACAAAAATGACCAAAAACCTTGACATTGTGAGGATGACATTCTATTCTGTTAATCGCTTTCAGACATTATTTTCCATAAAGCTAAGGTATACTTGCAAACTCAAAAACCATTAAAGTTTATAGATCCAGTTGAATCATTTAGAAGAGCATTCGGTTTAAGGAATTTTAGTCTTTGTATGGTCAGAGGTAATGTCATTTTCCACTCTTCTGATTTTCCATCTGTCGGCCCTGAAAATGGAAGAGTTGGTGATAAATCGATGTTATGATACTTTTAATTATTTTACAGAAAACAGTGCTCAAGTAATATGGTAGTCAAATTAGTTTGTGAAGACCCTAGTAAGTACTATGTTTTTGTGCCCATTATGTTAGACCACTATCGCAGCCCATCTCATATTCACCAAACAACCTATTGCAAACTCCGTAATATAAGGTAGTCACTTTATAAATTGCTTTTGCGATTTATTGTTATTGGTAATATGGATGTACCCGGAAGTTGGACTTGTCTGGTTTCGATGCATGGTCAGCTTTGTCCCATTGTAAAAATGAGCCTTGACATTTATTTATAAGCCATGTATCTAATTTTCACCAATTTAATTCAGTTTGTGGCATACGACCAGCGCATCATAAACCACTATTAAGAATTGTTAATGGCAATGAAGCTGCACCCGGAAGTTGGCCTTGGTTGGTTTCGATGCATGGTGGATTGGATGAGACATTTTTCTGTGGAGCTAGTATTTATAATGAACGATGGTTGATAACTGCTGCACATTGTGTTGGGGGCGGGTAAGTTGGAATTCTTCTCTCCAAATTTATAAAGTGGCCCTCACACCATAGCGTATGCTTGCAAATAAGAATATCGGTTATAAGTTTCGAACGCAAGTTTCGTGTTGTGAGTGGCGTTCGGAACTTTTGGCCACTCGCAACCACACGCAAGTGGTAATCGCTGTTATAAGGGTACCTAATGATTGTTAAATGTCGTTTTGGCATAATAATATATTGAGCATTATTATCATTTAAATTGTTACCATTTAGACAGTGGCCATTGGTTCTAGAATCGATCCGACATTCGCCCATGTATAGCAATTTTTTAACCTTTTCCATTATTATTTCAGAGCGAGCAATATTCCAGCATGGACCCTTAAGGCTGGTGCTGCCAGACGACACACATATTCCCGTCATCGTCAAGTTAGGAAAGCTAAAAGGTTATTCGTTCATCCAGATTTTATCCAAGTAGATAATGATATAGCATTAATCCAACTTGAAGAACCGTTTATATTCACTGATTATGTTCGACCTGTTTGTCTACCAAAAGAAAGTGACCCACCTGCTGAAGGATCAAAGTGTCTTGCTGCTGGTTGGGGTAGACCATCTGAAACTGGTAAGCACACCTGCCACAAGCTCCGATTTTTGTTCATTTGAAATTCCCAATAAAGCATTCTTGGCAATCATGGTTCTGCAATTTCGGCCAATCGAAACAAGTCCTCAACCTTTTTTCTTACATTTTCCATCCACAAGGATTGGCCAAGACAACTTTCACATTTATTTTGTCAACGGCTATTTTTAGTCATTCATGGTTCATTTTATGTAAGTTATAAACTTTCCTATTTCAGCTAACCATTATATGAGAGCAATGCAAGAATTGTATCTCGATGTAGTCAATTGGAAACATTGTAAAAATGTGGTAGAAAACGCAGAACAAAAACTACCATATAAAATCTCAAAAAATATGTTTTGTGCTGGCGGTACAATAGGGCATGATGCTTGTTCGGTAAGTATTCATATGGTGCTTCTAATTATGTCTATTAATGTCATGATCAAGTGTTACCCTAGGCCCAGAGCAATAGCTTTCAAAAATTTCTAGCTTGTGGAATTTGCATCCGTACACGACACTTCCATGCTTTCATCTTTGTGCATTTTTGTAAATTCCGGTTTGGTCGGATGGGACTGTGGGAAGTGGCTTTGGCTAACTCGGTTGTGATACAAAGCGCTTAATGGTTTGTTGTCGTTTTAGGGTGATAGTGGTGGTCCATTTGTTTGTAAGAAGGAGAACACTACAGATGAGTGGGTCCAATATGGAATAGTGTCATGGGGAGTTGGATGTGCTGTTCCTAATGTTCCTGGTATATATACTGTGCTGCCTCATTATCTAGACTGGATTAAAGAGGTTATCGCTAATAATACTGACCCTTTTTAGATAATCTTCCACTAACAACAATTTTAATTATGTGTATATATAGGCCAGTTATAATTTACGGGAAACTGTTTAAAATAGACTTCATTTTCTATTGAAAAAGTGATTGGCGGGAAATCAGAAAATGGCGGAAAATAGCGGGAAAATAATTATTGTATTCGTTCCATGTACTGTGTAGATTCCTTGGTGTGACGACTAAGGATTATAAAGCAACATAATTGGGATTTTCATTATTTTTGTCTGTGACAAAGTCGGTTGTATTTCAACGAGTGCAGCTGTACGATGGTGTCTGAAAAGGTGTAATCCAGTATTCAGCTACTGTAAACTGGATAGGCAGGGGCTATTAACCGCTATGTAGGTAGCCAAGAGTAAATTCGGTTGTATTTCAACGAGTGCTGTACGCTGATGTCTGAAATGGTGTGATCCAGGTACTGTTTACTGGATAGGCAGGGGCTATTAACCACTTCGTAGCAAAGAGTATGGATACATGGTGTCTGATAACCTTATTCCAAATGAAAGGGCCGCCACATGTGTACATGTATATACTTTTGTATAATACTTATTACGTTATCTAATATGAATGTTATTGTTATATAGCCTGATTATAATAATATACAAATAATATCACTCTGTCTGTATGACAGTTTAGTTGGCATTCGGTAGACTGTATGCCATTTGAAATGGCATCAGATTATTACCATATACGTCAATAAAATGATATCTTGCATCATAATATGTGAATATGTATTACATTTGTTACCATGTATGTCAATTTAAGTGGCGTCGATTGTCATGTATGTTGATTTTATAAGCTGCGTTTACACTGCCTTAAAATTGGCCCGCTTTAAGTGAACCATACCCGTTCCGGATAGATTAGTTGACATTCGGTAGACTGCATGTCATTTGAAATGGCTTCAGATTATTACCATATACGTCAATAAAATGATATCTTGCATCATAATATGTGAATATGTATTACATTTGTTACCATGCATGTCAATTTAAATGGCGTCGGTTATCGTATGCCATAGGTTTCAACTGTACCATATTATGTTTCAGTCAAAATGGTCCCATGTTTGTGGCATCTTATAGCATGTATGTCAATTTAAATGTCAAGTTGTACATGGTATGTCAACTTAATACCATTTAGTACCATGTATATCATGTATGTCAATAGTAAGCACTCTTGTAGAAACAATCGGCTTTAAGTGTTATGTTATACCGAATGGTATAGAACTCTAACAAGTCTTTTAGACATTGTATAAGCAAAATCAGAACACAATATTTTTTACTCTTTGTTATTGTTTTTGTTTGATTATTATGCCTACATTTACTCGATTTTAGATTTAGTTAACCAAATTACTAAATTCTATTGTACAAAGTTATTTTGACTAGAATGTTCGTTGAATTTCCTTTTCATGTTCCGAACGTAAGATTAAGAAACCAAATCGATGGTAGCGCTCAATTTACAAGTAGGCGTTAGGGTCGTTTGTCACACGTTAAATGTACATTCCACAATTCCGATCGTTTGTAACAATCGATCATTTCATTTTACAACACCGCAGAATCTTATGTAAAGATTGCATTACAATCGATACCATTCAAAAGAAATCAACCCGTTATTAAGTAGATTTTATGGTAACTTTGAAAAGGTAATTTTTTATTCTTTGTCATTTAGTTTGAAGAAATAATGTAAGTTTTAAGAACTAATACTTTTTGCATAAGCTTAATCAATGTTATCTGTTTTTGATAATAAAAGATAATTATTATTGGTGTTATTATAAGCTGTCGTATTAAATCATTTTAGGTCAACGCGATGAGTGGCGGAGTCACAGCTGGAAGGCAGCATTTGCATCCCTAGAAAAATGGTTTGCACCCCCAATATTGTAAACCCACTGTTTTTTTTTTTTCAAACCAATCTAGAAATATGGTTTCTATCCATTTTTGCCCCAAAATATGTATGAATTCACCAAATCAATTAATTTTTTCGAAAAGTTTCTTGGGGGAAACCCTCAACGACACTCAATTAGAGGCTTACGACAAAGTAGCCTCATTTTGAATTCAGCCTTGACAGTGACCCCGTAGAGTCATTCTGCCTATTTGTACCCCCAGTCCCAGGGCTGTTGTTGTAGCCCAATAATTACATCGTTTGAGGTGCATCAAAGATAAATCATATCCCAACAATCGTTTGAGGTGTACCAACAACAAATTATACCCAAAACAAAGCATTGCCAAAAACAAATTATAGCAAATAATCGTAGCATTGTGTACCAAAATCCAAGCATAGCCTAAAAATCGTTTGAGGTGATCCGGAGAAACACAAATCAATAGGATTTAATAAAAACTCCCTTCCACCACAGTGACTTTCAAATTGGCACAGATCGTACTTTGTACGGGTGGTCGGAAAAGCGAAAGATAGGACAACCATAAAACTTGTTATATTATGACAAAATAAAGAGGAGATTTTTATATCTTAATAAAAAAAATACAGTTTTCACCAACGAGGCACTTATTATCACGAACCATATTTCGAATCTCATAATATTATGCACATATCGATCAAATCACTTTTTCCATCTCGATCACTTGTAACGTTTATTCCCGAATAAGAAGACTGTAGGAAATACCTTGTATCAAAGAGCCTCGCACCAAGCACCAAGTCCAGATTTAGTAACAATGAGTGACTTCCTATGTTGCATTGATGGTTTAGTGTCAACTTTATCCAAGAATTTAATTTTCCGTGTTGGCACATCCGTGCTCTTTGAAATGGATTCGACATCCACAAAATTTTCAGTATACTTTTTATAATATTTCAACCGTTTACTAGAATCTGCAGATTTGCAACGTTTTGAATTGTCTGTTTTAATGGTCGTCAGAGTGGTTTGTGGTCTAACTGCCCATGTGGATGGTCTGGTTATCATACTGTCTGAGTGTCCAGGAATTTTCGTCTGAATAGGTTCGACATATTCCTCGGTTGATGATGATGACGATTCTGATAATGGTCTTGGATCACGGACTGATCTTGGGATGAACACACTCTTTTTCCTTTGACGCGACGATTGACTTACAGTATTGACCAACATCAACGGTGTTTTCAGATCACGGGTCCCAGCACTGGTAGTTTTCTTGTAAGCATTTATTAAATGAGCTTTGTCCAGTTTGAACTTGGCAGATTGGCATCGTATAGTTTTTTCTGTCACCGACTGGGCTCTTTGAAGATTCTGTAAAGTATTTTGTAACTTACACTCTTCTGCTCTGTTTCGTCTGTATGCATCCTTTTCGAAATCGCTGAAGAACACGACTGGTCGTGGTAGTTTTGCTTCTGTCTTTTTCATTTTTAGTCTGTAAGCATGTCCGGGTTCCTTTCGGCAAGACTTCCTCTGGACACTTTGCTTTGGTTCAGCCACAGAAAACATAATTTCTTTTCCAAAAGTATCCCACGTTCTGTTATACCAACTAATGACAAACTGAAATCAACACTGTCGCACACAAAACAATATTTCTTTTACTAATGGGTAGATCACACGGTCAATAATGGATTATGATATAATGCTATTAGCCAGTTGTAACAGTGGCGTAGTTTGTCACGACCCTGACACTTTTGAAGTATGTTACCCGTTACCTATACTCCATTTTATTAAAACAACACCGAAAATAAATCGCCTGGAAAGCAAATTTTAAAGTGACTATATCAAGATAACAGAAAACCAAATCCAGTTTTCCACAGCCTACCCTGCGTCTATATGTGGAATAAGTCAGTGGCCAATTTCAGTATTTCTACGAAACACGAATCTATACTTGATAATTATTATTCCTCTGAATTTCTGATCTGAGTTTCTTGCTTGATTACTTGTAGGGCCGTAATTTGTGTCTCATTTCAATGGAGCAAAAATCCCATTAAGACGAGGGGTCTTGGCGCCGCCTATAATAATAATAATAATGACTTTCACTTGTGCAGCCTTATGGGCGCCATCTTTAAAAACTATCGTACCCACCTTTCCGTAGACATGATTTAATTTCTATATTTTAACTTTCAAAACAAAATTTGTTTTTGGCGGATGAGGGAGTGGGGTAAAAATCGCCATAAAGCATTTACTTATGTAGTTACCACCCTGGCTTAATAGGCCTAGTGTTGTCTTTTGATATTCATTTCATATTGTCTCAAGTTTATACGACAAATCCGGTCCTACCGTTTTTTAGAGATGATAAACGTGCCGTTTTCCATCCGAGGAACGTGTAGGGTCAGACTCATCGGGCTATTTTCGGGTATAGAAAATACAATTGGCAAGAAATTCCCTTTAAATACGATCTCGGTCTGATCTGCGTTTCTTTGACTTTCTGTGAACACAGGTGAAGTAGTCTTTCAAGTTTCCTTTATTCTTAGATTATTGTATTAGGATTAATATCATAATATAGTTAATAAATAGGATCAATAGAGTTTAATATAGTAATAGCTCATGTCACTCTATAGAAGTATAATAGATCAAGAGGTTTTATACATTAATATCTATCTTAAATACATGTCCATATTATAATTCAAACTTACTCAGTAGATATATAGCACAAAAATTACCAATTTAATGCAAATAGTGCGTATAATATGCATAGAAAATACATTCATATTTTGTAATCTGACAATTTTGTTTTAATCGCGTTTAGCTGCTTTTGATCCAAGTTAGAAGTTATGAGTCAGCTTATCGAAATATAACAATGTTAAATTGGGCTTTAAACAATCGGTAGAATCGGTAGAAAAATACGAATACGGTAGCGTCAGGGTATTAGACGATGTCAAGCTATTACAATTTGAGTCTAATACCTTGACTGCATCTTGTATTACGGAAATTTTTAAATGCAGCGATTTGATGAGATTGTAGGCCCACACTAATGAAAACAGCCAATCTGTGCCCCCCTCGAACAATTTTAAACAATTTGGCTAAAAGTGTTAAAGGGACAGGAATAGTGTTCACAGCTCACCGTCGAAATTTGGGCCTTCAAATCCATGTGTGTCCAGAATTGAAATGACGAATCGTCATATATGTTATATATATAAAATAATTATATAGAAATATTGAGTAAAATTCCTAGTTTGTGGTATTTTTAAAGAAATTATGTGATTGAACTGTTGAGTCAAAGATATATAGTCAAGCATACAGTGAAAGATTTCACCCCAGCCCCAAAGATATTTCTTGAAGGTTTTCTAACTTGTTATGGACTGGATCTTTATAGACGGGCTTCGTTCTTTCTTTCTTTTTTTCCCTTTTCTCTTGAAATACAAAAATCAAGTACATTGTCTGTACCACACCATGGAAAGCTTTCTAAAAACTCCGTACAGACGTTACTGCACACTATTGAAGTAAGTGTCGAGATATTTAGGTATAGATTCCAGGGCTTATTCTTTAAATGGATTGTAAAGAAGTTTTCTAAAGTTTGTATGAGTACCAGGGACACTGACATTTGTACCATTCCAATTTTCAGTCAGACGTCTGTAGTTTCTGCAATTCCACTTAAACTACGTGTTATATGACGCCACTTTTGGCAAAATTTGCTTTATCACATATCTATAAACAACTTTAATTGAAGAAACCACAGACGTCTGATGGAATGGAATGGTGGAAATTGATGCTATCATGCAGCGTCTCTTGTTCTTATATAAAATTTAGAGAACATCTTTACAATTCCTTTAAGTTTGAGTGTGAATATTTCTGAAATATTGTCGAATTTTGATAAATTCGATTCTCTCCCTTTGACTCTGTCTCGCATACTGATTTTATCAAACAAGGACAACCCTTTCTCTTGAAATCACGTCAGGGCCGTTGGAACCGCTGTTCGTTGGGGGAGGGGGAATTGGGTGGGATTTAGCTACGGTAAAATCATGGACCACCCATTTTATTCGATAACGCGTAAAAATACGATTCAGTAAAAATTCAGCGTTCAGTGTGTATATTCGATACTTCTGAAACGATCAATAAATAGTAGATGGAAGGGTGCAATTCTTCGACTGTAAACATTATCTCTGGAGGTCATTGATTGGCTGTATAAGTTAGCACACATTCCAATGAAATTGCTGCATTCGGAGATACAAGAAGGGTGGCTATACCAGTCAAATCGCTGCACTGACACACTTAAGAGATACAAAAAGTGCTTAATGAAGTCAAAGTATTAGGCACAGTTTTTTTTATTGCATTGTAAATATTATCTGAAACGGAGTCAGGGCTCTTTTTTTGAACAGTTCGGAGTCCATGTTGATAAATTCTAATTAGAGTTAGATTAGCAAAGGAATCAATCCATGTGATATTCGCATATAAATATATATTACATTTATTTGTGTGAACTTAGTTGATCTATATTTACACCACACTTATATTGCATTATGACAATCCTATATCTAAATATTTCAATAGCCATTTATTAGATCAAAAGCCAGGGTCGTAACTACATTGTCACTCCAACTATTATTGGAAGTTGTTAGTTCAAATCTTACAAATCTATCGTTTTGTCGTTCTGTCTGATCAATCACTTTGAGATATATAGGACACCAATAACGTGTTTTTGATAGTATCGATTTTTGGTCAACTCATCACGGAAGACTCAAACCGCTTGTCTTGTGTTTATGGTAACTTTAGTCTTTGGGCACATACTAATTTGTGACAGGACAGATCTGACGTAAATAAATATAAAAAATATCGGAATAATTTAAATTGATTTAAATGATCAGAGCTTTGGATATTATAGATTAGGACTACGTTGGATTATCCAGTATATAAAATATGCTCCAGTGTATTTTACGTTGCTGAAAAGGATAAGATGTTCAAAGTATATAACCTAGAGGGTTTCCAAATATTCATAAGCGCTTAGGAGATACAAATATTGATGAAAGACCTAATATATTACTGCATCAGAAACTCTTCATCTACTGATGTAATATTCGGTGTGACTGAACAGTGTCCATCCGTCCACCCGAGCTTCAGTTTAAGGACCAAATACAAAAACTTTTTGTAAAAAGGTCGTTCAGTCATCAATTAGGCTTATGTCAGATAATAATTACAGAGCCTTAATGATCACCAAAGAAGATCTTCGAGTATTGATAAGACGTGATTTGTAAATCAGAGGTTAATTGTTGGAAATATTTTTGTCGTCCATTGTGTAAGTATATATTTTCTGTATTTTAACCGCTTTTCAAAAACGCCGTAATCTGAACATTCAGTTTGTCTGGTCTTAATAGCGACTCAGGGACATTACAACGGATACAAAATATATAAGAATAGTACTAAGAAATGTATAGTTGATCTTATTGATTGGAGTGGTAATATTGACAATAGGATGCCTTGCAGAGACGCTGGAGCCGTATAATGCGAACTCTCTAACAGCATGCTCTCTGGCTCATTTTCTCTTGATTTACATACTGGGCCCGCAGCTACGGGGGTGGGGGCAAGAGGAGTGGGCAATTCCTTCCCAGCAAAAAAATGATTGCCCTCCGGAAAAATTATGACAACTGACCAATTCTATTACTGCAACTAAACACTATACACTATTCTCTCTCTGGATATATTACTTGACCCTCTAAACAATCAAGTCTGGCCTGTTACTTACTAGAGTCGCCGTGACCCGATAAAATTCTTCTAAATGACTAAAGAGAAAATCTAGTTTTGAATCTGGTCTGAGATCATTGGTATATCGAAAGGCCTGTCAGTGACATTGTTGGTGAATATGCACTTTCTCAATAGTAAGACGTCGACTCCTATAACAGAATCAAGACGTTTCCTATCAGACATAAGCTTTATGCACTTTTTGTCTAATTAAGAAGCAGAATTTATGGCATAAATATATCTTTGAAATAATCCTCCGTAGAATACTTTCAAATGCTGAATTCATTTTTGACAAAAATGTCACTATTCAAGAACAGAATTGTGTCATTTTTGTGAAAAACAGTGACCTATTGGGAATAACGGTCAAGTGGGCCATATTGTTAACATATCAACATTGTCATATATTGTTATTGCTTTTATTACAGAAAGTGTAGAATGTCTATCACGGTGTTAATCAAGTGAATAATGAATAATTGGTATACAACAGATCATATCTAGATCATTAATATCTGAATAAATGTAATAATTCTTGTTGGTTTATGGAAAGAATTTTTGTACAAAATCACATGATGGAAGGTAAAGTTTCATTGATATTATATCAGAATATTACTCATGTGATAGTTATCATTTGTATATTAGAAATGTAATAAATTCAGTATGAATATCGACAGAAGTCTTCATCGGCTCACACAACTCAATCCAGTTGCTAACTAATGGCTGTAACATCTGCCTCTATTCTAGAATCTGGTAGATAATTTGACGGTTATCAGGTGGAGTAGGGTCAGAAAAACTTGGCCCTATTTTATGGAAATTATTCCGCACCTATACGAAGGCTGGAATAGATAGAATGTTTTTGATTACCACCAACTTTCACAACTACTATATATAGACTGCAATAGAGGCAGAATTGTCTAACGCTGAATTGAAAATCGACAATATTCTTGCGTAAATCTGAAAATGATTTAGAGAGAGTTTCCATCTGATCATGGATCACTTAGAAATCTACGTTCAAATCATTAAGATCTGTGCTTTAAGTTTAATCAAATTTCATCTTATATATTTATACCTATTTAAGTTATTTTCTAATATTTGACGATGGGGGGAGGAATTGTATAAAGAAATAAGATGTAAGATGGAAGCGAACTCGCTGAACAACGTGTTTAAAAGGATGGTTTCTCCAGTTTTTGATCAATCGTGTTTTAGTCTCAGAAATGGAAATTTCGTTTTTAGCTAAACTTATCAGTAATAGTGTTCACAGCTCACTGTGAGCCTTGAAATCTATGTGTCCAGAATTATCCGCGTTTGAATGTTAAAATGACGACTAGTCTTTGATTTCTTTCTTTCACCATATATAGAAATTACAAGTATAAATGTAGAAAGTGAAATTCTTAGTTTGGGATATTTTTAAAGGAATAATGCGATTTTAGTTCATTTCTTGTAAGACTATTTACATATACTCAAGACCCAAATCAAAATGGCGAATCTGTCCCTTTAAGAAGGAGAAACTGACTTCTGAAGAGTAAACAAGATCTATAGATCAGGATCTTCATATTGCCCAACAACTGACAAATTTCAATATCATTTCAATTTTTTACCTACTTGAAGTTGAAATCCAATCTTTTTAAAGAAATTAAGCGAGTGGGGGGATTACCATTCATTTTTTGATCTTCTTATCTTTTAAAGATATGATTTTATATCAAACTTCTCTGTTGTCAAGATTTTATTGTTTAAAGGCATGTACATTGACCCTAAATCATGTCATCAAGACATTTGTATGAAAAGGGAATATTTTTACAGAAGAAAATATAACAATGAAAGAAAAGGTTTCAATAATTTTGTGCAATCGCAATCAATTTTCAATAGCCAATTCGATATTCATTAGAACGGGAAATCTTTAAAGGGGATTGGTTTGGGTCTTTCTTGTGCTTTAATAGTCCAAAGAAGCATAATCCCTTCAAATATACCTCAAACTAGAAATTTCTCTGTCTATTTCTATATATGTTTTCTATTTATGGCATAGTCTCACTAAAATTCGAGCCAAGTTTTTAACTTTCAAACGTGAATAATTATGGATACTGTACATGGATTTGAAGACTCAAATTTCGACGATGAGCTGTGAACACTATTACTGATTATGTAAGCCAAAATTATGTTTCTGGAACCAAGGTATGATTGGTCGAACGGATAGTGAAGGTGCTCCTTTAAGTAATACAAAAATACAATACAAAATATTGATACATTTTTAAGAAATGCAGTCGTTTGAATTTATGTTTTATCAGCAATAAGAAATCCATTTTAGCTATACCAATGACAGTTTTATGTACTATTAGATAACAAGTGTACGGAAGGAAGTGGGATACTATTTGCATAGATCTTGATACTTTAAATACAGCTGTCGTAGATCATTTTCTCTATTTGCAGGCGAATTAAACGTCGAATTTCATTTTTTTAAAGCGTCAAGGGTAGTTGAAATTGGGTCTTATCAGCTAGTAACATAGATATCTCGATAACAATATCCTTTTTAAATCGAACAACCAACTCTATCAGTCATTGACATTTTACTATAAAGCCAGTAGAAAACACAAAAGATATGCAATTTCTATTGTATATTTCAATAAAACCAAGCATGTATTTGACAAGAATCATATATTGTAAGAAAGAAAGTTTTAGATTTAATAAGGTATATCAATGTAAAATGGAGAGTATAATAGGTAAAAGTGTTATTGTTTGTTTACAATATGTTTAATCGTCTGTAAAAAATAACCAGGCGTCAATAACATTTTATTCCATTGGTTACAGTGGCGGAGCCAGGTTTACGTCCGAAAGGGGGGGGGGGGGGCGAAATATCTGAGATTGCCCGAATTTTTAACATAGTTATGAGATTTTTGCGAGAAAAAACTTGCATTCGGGGCTGCCAGAGAGGGGGTGGGTTATATTGAATGATACATGTTCGTGTATATTGTGTGCATATTTCACCACTTTCAGCTATCAAGATTGTTCGTTGTCAATCGATGTCGATTAACTTTGGGCGGCCTTGATAGATCAATATGGAATGTCTAAAATAAAATTAATATTTCAACTGTTGCCTGACCCAGCGACATGTTATCACGATATGTTTAACCCATGGTCAAAAACTATACTTTAAAGATGGGTTTCCTTATTTTTTAGTGTCAAACAAACTATTTAATTAATTAATTTTGTGTTGCTTTTGAATTAACATGTATTCTTAATGATATCGTTATTGTACGTAATTAAGAGTTTTAACTGAAAAATTTAATGTCGATGTATGTACAGTCTGGATAAACAAAAAATAAAGATACTTTTTGACCTTTCTTGCTTGGTCACTTATTGGAATTCTGTTGGTCATTCTCTTCTAATTAAGCTCATTTTGAATTAATTATGGACATGTGAGACAAACTGGTATTTTCCAAGTCATTAGACCACCACTACTTTCTATTCATATAAGTATTAGCATTTTCATTTTCATAAATGAAATAAGGGAACCTATCTTTAAGCTCTATTGTAGAAAGTGGTACAGAATGCTTAAATTGAACTGTGAGAAAAGAGATTATCTAGATTACCTTAAAGATATCATGTCCTAACAATGATGAAATAAGAACCCATAAAAAAAAACATAACAATAAACTTTGTTTTTCAGGAACAGGTACTAAAGATACAGAAACAAGCAATGAAACAGTATCAACCACGAAAGAAGCACCTTCTTCAGAAAAAGAAACATTTACTAAAGATAAAGAGCCAGTAACTAACGCGAAAGAAACAGAAACGTCTACCAAAGAAACAGATAAAGTTACCGCTGAAACGTCCACTAAAGTAGCAGACGCAGTTAATAACGAAACAGAAATGCCCACTAAAGTAGCAGACACAGTTAATAACGAAACAGAAATGCCCACTAAAGTAGCAGACACAGTTAATAACGAAACAGAAATGCCCACTAAAGTAGCAGACACAGTTAATAACGAAACAGAAATGCCCACTAAAGTAGCAGACACAGTTACTGAAGATATTGAAATATGTTCGAAAGCAACAGAAACATCTGTTTCAGAAACACAAACAGCCATTAAAGAACGAGAAGCAGCTGATTCAGAAACAGAAACAGATACAGATACGTCCGAAACAGAAACAGAACCAGAAACGCCATGGTCAAACCCGGACACCAGTTCTTCCACCCCTCGTAAAAAAAATACTGTCAGCAATTGTGAAATTTTGGCACAAATGAAAAACCGCCACGAAGAAATTATTTTGAACTCTAGATTGCGTTCACTTCAGACAAAACAAGGTCGTAAAGAAGATTCGTTAACGCGGACAAAGAAGCAGCTAATCGAGACTATGAAAAAATCGAAACGAACATCCGGTTCGAGTCCAGATCCTTTTGTCTCAGTCGAAAAAGTGACTCCTTTAATCTACAAATATTATCAGGCACCTTGGGCTTATTCTTTTAATGATGCAACACATAACTCGCTGTATAAAGAAATAGAACAACTTCCCAAGAGAAGTATCAAAAGGAACAGCCGACAATCTACTTCTCGTCCTGCAGTTAAATCTGCCCCATTTCATCAAAGAACTGTACCTTCTTTGATAGAGCGCAGCAGTACAGCATCAAATATCGATCTTAATGGCAATTCTAATGAAACGCCAACATTTTTGCGATCAAGTCGTAAACCAATAATGCGACCGCATTCGTGTGCGTTGCCAACAAAGACTAGAGATATAGTTGACAAAGGCAGTGTGCACTTTAATGAGGAAACGGTCCGGCCCCATACTTGTAAAAATGACAGTAGAATGACACATCGACAGGTGGAAAGGAAACAAAGCTGGATTAAACCTATAAATAGAGCTAATTCCAATTCGATTATAGACACTCGATCAGAGGAAGATAACAATGAAACGACTGATGATGAATTTGTTAGTAAATATTTAGGTAATTCAGAGAAAGTGAATCGTTACAGATATCTTAATCGCAAGAAGGATGGTTTGTCTCAAGTTATATTCCGAGGACAAAAACTCAAGAACTATATCAGGCCACAGGATCGATATAAAAGGGATCCTTTAAATCTCGTCAAAAGAGAGAAGATGGTGATGAAGCTGTCTATGACAGATTCTGAATCGTTAGAAGAGTCTCGAAAAGCTGCTCTTAAAGCTGGCGAAGCGTTCCCTAAAGCGGCTCGTTTGAGAATGTTGAACGAACTTATAGCAAGTAACAATAATAAATCTGGGGGCCCTCATTTAGATTATAATATCGAACTACAAGCCAGAATAGAACATTTTCTCCACTCTATTGATGACTTTTGTGAATCACGGAGCACGGGTTCATACGGTACAAAAGCCGGAAGTGTTAATTCTTAAGTCAGTCAATATTTTCTTCTACTTCTACTTCTACGCATACAAATTTCACTTGTTACTGAATGGATTGGGGTCAAAGCTGGACAAGCCTCTTTTCCAGCACATCTGAAACGATGCAGATTTGTTTTAGTCAATACGTAGCTTAAATTAAATCAGTATCAGAACTGTGTTATCTTCGTTTAACTAGTTGCGACCCCAGCCTCTTAGAACTTGGGCATAAATAGGGAGCAAATTGTCTAGAAGGCGGAGGGGGGGGGGGGGGGGGTGCAGTGTTAAGATTAGAAAAGCGAAAGTGCTGTAAAAGTACCATGGAGTGTGGGGTGGGATTTCCCCCAGGAAAATAGAAATGTTTAATTGCTTCATCCTGACACATATTTTTGAGCAAGAGTATGAATGTGTCCTTAATTTTCTAAATGTGTTCAATTTTTTAGCTTGCAATCACGAAATGTGTCTATGTAGCCGAAATGGAATACTTTGTAAGAGTATATAGGGCCTACCATTGAGATAGGCCTACAACTATAGTTCTATTGTTAATCTTTCATCTATTAAGCTATAAACTATTATAATAAGTCTACAGTCCTTTCAATCATCAAATAAGGTAGGCCTATAAACTACCACATTCAATTTATTAAGTTAAGCTTGTGGACCCTTTTCACTTAGGTCTAGGCCTACTTTCCAAAAATTAGTCATACTTTCACTTGACGAACTGTGCTGTTGAACTATTACAATCAAGTAACCTAATTTCGTGGAAACCTATTGTTCGTGGATTTCCGGAAAGGATTAATAATTTACATGAGCGACCTTGCGCGACCTCCGCATTAGTTTGTTTTGATAAACATGGGTTTTCACTACAATATCAGCTAGTAGAATGAATCCAGTAGTTTCAAGCAAGGTAAAATGTATTAATGTATACTTTGACAAATACAAAATGGCGGATTTCAGTTATTACCAAACGTCACCATTTTTTATCGGCCGAATTTCCTTATAATCCCAAGCGGTAATCGGAATTCCAAGTGTCGTCTGCTAGAATGTAGTCCAACGAATGAAGTCACGTGATCAACTAGCGGATTCCGTGTCAGCAGAAAATTTCTATGGAACACAAAGTGGACCATATTCTTATGTTATTTCAGTGACTTTTAGCAATAAATCACGCTACGTATCTTATTTTGTCAGTCACTATTTTTTTTTAAAATCGTGGTTCTTTCAAGGAATTGTCACTAGTTATAATGAATTGATATTAAAGATAAATACTAAGAGAAGTTAATTATACCACCCGGTATCCA